ATGGGGCTCCCAGCCTGGGCAGGGGGAGACCGTGGGGGCCGAGCCAGGCTCCAGCTGGCTGCCCTAACCGCAGACCTGTTCTTCCCCTCCTGGGGCCCCTTTCCTCTGGAGAGCTTTTTGGGACCAGCTGTGCCGTGCCCTGGGGCCCATGGGGGAGGAGAGGGGGTGTCTGAGAGCTCTGGCTGGGCCCTGACCCCAGAGGTTTCTGTGCTTTTCCCTTCCTCCCTCGGGCAGCACCTCCTTCAGCAACACCATCGACCTGCCCATGTCCCCGCGCACCCTGGACTCGCTCATGCAGTTTGGCAACAGCAGCGAGGGAGCAGAGGCCAATGCGGGAGGGCAGTTTGGTGAGTCTGGTGGGACGCGGCACCCAAGGGCGCCCTGGCCGTAGCCACGCGTGGGCCCTGTAACCTCCGGCCGTGTCTCCCTGCAGAGTCGCTGACGTTTGACATGGAGCTGACCCCGGAGTGTGCTTCTTCACCGATGTGAGGTGCTCCGCCGGTGCTCGCGGGGGCCCTCCCAGGACTCGGACTTCCCACCTCCAGAGAGCTTCCTCAGTCTCGCCCTGCTCGGTCGTGGTTGCTCTGGGCTGTTCCTCGGGAGGAGCTGGGGGCCGGGGTCCTTGCCACCGATTCCTTTTTTGACCCAAATGAACACACCCCCCCTTTCCAGGGTGGTTTCTGGTCGTCTCTTTGGGGGGAGGGGGGAATTGAACCTTTTTCTATTTCCTTCCATAACAGTTTTTTATTATTGTTTTGCTCATTCAAGTGCCTATTAGCCTCCGATCGTAGCCTCAGTTTTTACAAATGCTTCTGCAGCCCCGGTCATGCTGCCTGCTGTTGAAAACTGCTTTCCTGACTGCCAGAGTCCAAAAGGCCATGAAGATCTTGTGAGCCCAGATTTGCCTCCGGGCACCTGAGAGGGGACCGGCCGATCCTGGCCTCAGCATGGGTTACCTGATGCGCTGTGCCGGGGGCGAGCATTGCTGCTGCCCAGGCAGCCTTCCCGGAGCTCGCAGAGGGTTCTCCTCTCTGCACCTTTGGCCCTGCTTTTGGCCAGGAGGACCAGCACACAGCTCGGAGCTGCGAGGTGGATGGGCCCAGCGCTCCCGCCCTGCGAGGGCGATGCTTCTGCTGGGCTCAGCCTGGGCTTTGCTGGGAGCAGGGGCTTTCTGTGGGTGCCTGCGCTTGCCACCGACTTCCTGCTGTGGGCACAGAGATCCGGCTAGCTCCAGCGGCCCCAGGGCTCCTGCTCGGACTACTGGTTTCTCTGCGGTGCAAAGACTGCCCTGGGGCAGGACAGTGATGTGTCCCAACACCACTGCGTGCTTGTGAGCGTGCAGCGTTTGCATCTTGAGTCTGTTTTGGGACCTGGGTATAACCGCAGAGGCTGCCCCGACGGTGGCTCGCCCCGTGGCCAGGCTAGTGACAGAAGCACGGCTGTGCCCCCCTCGCTGCACGCAGCTAGACCTGTTGGACCCCGGCGGGAGGCCACTGGATCTAGCGTGATCTGCAGTGGATGGCCTGCCCTGGCCCTTTTCCTTCTGGTATGGCTTGTAACGTTCCAGGCAGTGGGTTTGCAGCTTCTCAGGGGCTTCGCATGGCATTTTTGTTGGAGGTTGGCTGTTACTTTTAAGGTAGGAGGTGGCAAGATTTGAAGGGAGCAGGATGTACATAGGGAGAGGAATCCGCTGTTAGTCAGTGCTCGATGGAGACGTGGGTGTTGCAAAGGGCAGGTTTCCTTGCTCAGAGGGTCAAGGAAAGGTGGAAGCTGTGCTGGCCTTTCCATGCTGTGGGTGCACAGACACGGATGAGCAAGGAAAGGGAGGGAGAGGCGGCAGGAGAGCTGCCTGCCCCCTGCTCTGGTATCTGGAAGCCCGTGGTGGTAACGGCTGCAGCTGCCTGCAGGAGGGTGGCATGAGGGGTTGCGTGCTGTGCTCGGCCAGGCCCGCTGCAGTTGGCACGGAGGCTGTGAGTAAAATCAGCGGAGAAACTTCTAGCTGGGCATCAGCTGAATCAGGCTTTACAGGTCTCTGATGTGTCTTGATTTGGCCCTGGGTAGAGAGAAACCCTTGATCATCTGTACCAGTGACGCTGCTGTGGTGCAGAGCAGACCCATCGTGTAGCTCTGGCTTTTCTGCCCAGTAAAGACCGTGGGGCATCCCCACAACCCCCCAGCTGGGAAGGGAGAGAGGGCTGTGGGGTCCGGGCCAGCCCCCTTAGCTGTGTGTGGGCAGGAGAGGGTGTCCGTGGCTGGCCCCCCTTTGAAGTTGGGTGGTGCTCAGAGGGGACGAGGGCAGTTTGCCCCTGTGCTCGCATGTAGCTGCCTCCAGCTGCAGTCACTGTAGCCCTGGGCAGCATTTAATACTGTAAAAATTTTTATTTTTTTGTA